TCTGGGTGCTCCCTTTAATTATAGGCTGAGAGGCTGCATCACTGCCCCTGCACAAATCAGGGAAGTGTTCATATCATACCAGTTGAAAGCCTTGGGGAAGTCCTAGGACCAATCTCCGGATTCCCCCTGATGCATTCTGGGAGGGAGGGAGAGGAAAGTCCGCAAATGATGATGCACATAAGAAGTGTCTACTGGCATGACATCTTGTGTGGAAAAGGGTCATTATGGCAAATACACAACAGAACCCGATACTCTAATGAAGACATTTTAATAATAAAAGGCCTCATTTAACAACAGTGCGGTGAAACGTCAAAAAAGGGTCCGTACGGCAAAGTGAGCGTGGTATTATTATGAATAAGTGTGTAGCCTCGAAACAGCTGATGATAAGTGACCTGAGGAAACCAGCGCCATTTAAATAACACCCTTTAAGATTATTACAGGCAGCTGTAGAATACAGCCTTGGATCTGAGCAGGAACTCATTAATAAACAAGAGAAAAACATTGTTTTGTCTATCCAACATAATGCCAGAAATTATTCACATTATTTGAATGAATAAATGTAAGTTCACTTAAACCATAAATTGGAAGAGTATATATCTTGTGACCAGTGAGGAAGCATGAGATTGTGAGCCTTGTCCTCTGCGTAACAATCAACACGATCATTCAATTTTAAGATATTTAGTCTAATTCAATCCAATTAAAGTCAATGTATTCTTGTATAACCCTAAATCACAACAGTAATTATCTCAGAGGACTTAACACAACCGTTGAAATCGCCAACACGGATTAGAGACACATAAAGGTATTGGTCCATAGGGAGTTGACCAATGTCCATGAATGTTGATAAATGTCCATAAGTTTTGTAGAATGTAGAGTGTCCTGGATCATCGCCACAGTCCTTTTTGTTAGACCCACTAACAGTCTAACAGACCATCCTGCATCGGCAAGGAAAAACTCTAAAACCCAGTGGGAGAAGAGTGAGAAACCTTGGGGAGAACCAGATTGAGAGAGGGATCTAACTGTGTGTGTAACCTCGGTGCTGTGCTGCTGTGGTCCTGATTATTGAGAAATGTAAATCTACAGTATCTTTGCAATTAAACTAATGCAACATTCAAAAGACTAAGCCTGCTGCAGACAAAGGTTTGGTCAATAAAAAAAAAAAAACACAATAATGACTCTCAAAAAGATGACGATTAAGAGATCTTTTATTCGTCCCACAGTGGGGAAATTTCAGTTTTCAACTCTAGTTTTCTCACATTACTTTTTAATCACACATTATATTTGTCCTGTAGTTTTCACTGCGTTAAATGACTGTTATCATCGAGGAGCTACACGCTGCAAGACTTGGATCTCACTTAATCCTTCTTGTGTTTAAGTTGTTATGTGCGTCGTGCGTAAAGCTAAACGGTGGCATTAAAGCGGAGGAATCAAACACCTAAATACACACACGCAGGCGCACACACACAAACGCACACACAGTGACCGGGAGAGCAACTCACATCCGCACGCTCCATCACGAGGACGTCACGCAGAAGCGATTGTTATTTTTACGCACGCGTTGCCAAAGCCTGTAACGTGATGCAGCGAGCCGGCGTGTAGAAGTAACATGTTCTCTCATCTGAAAGGAGTGGAGCAGGGCAAACACAGACTGGAACCTTTATCGTGTGTCAAAAGGGACACCCGTGGGGAGCTGACACGCGACACCCTCCCCTCCCTCTCTCCCTCCCTCCTTCTCTCTCTCTTCTCTCAGTGATCAATGTCCAGTCTTTACGAGTCCAGATCCATCACTCCTCTCTCCAATAACACGCCAGTCCATCGGATTAAAATGATTCGAAAGTCGATCATGTTAAACGCCAGAGAGTGTGTGGTGCTGGGAGGGGTGGAAGGTAAATTGGACATTTCCAACCTGATGCACACAGGCGCACAAGGGTCACCCCCAGTGTTGGGTAGAGTACATGACCTGCAATGTATTTTGTTGAATACAGGTACTACATAAAGGTAGTACCTGTATTCCGAATACTTAGAATATTACGTATACTTTTAATTATTATTTTGTATTGTTTGTTTTTATTGTAAATTCATGTTTCTTTACAAAACGTATAAAGATACATTGCAAAATATTTAAAACCATACCCTTTGCTGTTTATTTTGTAGAACAAGTCAAAGTGGTTCAACAGCTGCCCTTCAACAAGAAAAAAAAGATGAATCTTTGCTTTAAAAATATCTCATTTTATTTATTTTTTTAACCTTAAACTCAACTTCTTGACCTGAGGGCCCCATGTAAAAATGTGTAACAAACTATTTTATTTTAGAGAAATATGAATAATGTGAGTAACAAAACAATTCTTAACCCAAAGTGTTGTTATAAGCAACCTTATAACAACATTTTTTCTTTGTTTTATTACCAAATGATGCTTACAGGCTTACACAACTCCAATATACATTACAATCAGAGCATAAAAAGGCAAATTCCAAGTATAGACCATAATTAAAAAGTATAATATCATCAAGGCACAATGGGATTAAGAGACATTCCGACGACCATATTGCTATATAAAGCGGAATGAGAATCGCCTAAGAGCAGAATCTCTTGCTTCCAAACTGAAAAACAACAACTACTTTGACTTTTGGAAAGAAGTTAGAATGATGAACAGTTGCACGACTTCTCTTCCCTGAGATATTGACGGAGTAACTGGTTCGGACAATATTTGTAAATTGTAGATGAAATATTATTATGAATTGTATAATTGTGGTAAAGACAATAATGCTACTATAGGGGCTGTTGATAATAATGATGGTGTGATCGTAACTCTACTTGAGGTTTTTAATGCTGTTTTAACATTGAAGAGTAACAAGTCATGTGGACCAGATGCAGTTTCATCTGAGCACCTAAAATATGCAAGCAAAAAGTTATACCCACTTCTTGCTCTGTTTTACTAGTTTTTTTGTTCATGGGCTTTTGCCTGTGTCACTTATGTCAGTCTTACTTGTCCCAGTGATAAAAGACAAGGCTGGGAAACTCAACATAAGGACAACTATCGGCCTATTAAGGTTTTTGAGAGGATCATTCTGTACAGACTTGAACCATACCTGTATACAACTGCAAACCAGTTTGGATTCAAACAAGAACATGGTACTGACCTGTGTATTTTTGCCCTTAAAGAAATTCTGGACAAGTACCACAGTCAAGGTTCCACAATTTTCTCCTGTTTCTTAGATGCATCCAAAGCATTCTATAGAATTAATCATGAGAGGCTTTTCAGGAAGTTATCTAATAGAGGTGTTCCTGGCTACCTTATTAGGGTCCTCATATTTTGGTACTCGCAGCAGAGTACGCGGGTGAAGTGGGGTGGGTCAGTGTCAGACTCATTCAAGGTCAGTAATGGAGTCCGGCAGGGTAGTGTGATGTCCCCCCTGTTGTTTAACATCTATATGGACGATTTATCTGTACAGCTCAATCACTGTATTACTGGGTGTGTCGTGGGAGGCAGAGTGATTAACCACCTCATGTATGCCGATGACCTGGTTGTGCTCAGTCCGTACAGTGCAGGACTTCAGCAGCTCCTCAAGATATGCTCTGTGTACGGTCTTCCAAATGATATAAAATAGAACTCTAGTAAAAGCTTCATTATGATTGTGAGGACGAAAAATGACATAAAATCTGTATTTCCTGCATTTTCCCCTTTGTGGTAATGCTCTAAATGTCAGTGAGGAAGTAAAGTACCTTGGGCATTACATATGCAGTGACCTCACAGACGACCGGGATATACACAGACAGAGATGTAAACTGTATGGCCAATCCAACATGCTGGTCAGAAAGTTTAACATGTGCTCTGTGAATGTTAAAACCTCCCTTTTCCAATCTTTTTCCTTATACACAGCCCAACTATGGCGGAGCTATAAGCAGGCCAGTTTGCAGAAGTTAACTGTTGCCTATAATGACTCGATGAGGATGCTGCTGAAGATCCCCAGACACAGTAGTGCGAGTCAGATGTTTGCTGAGTGCAGGGTGCGCTCCTTTCCTGCTGCCCTACGCCACTGCTACTATCGGTTCATGTGTTTAGAGTGGTGAGGGTCCCTAATGCTATTGTACAGTCCCTGGTTTGTCCTTATGTGAGATTTCATAACACTTTTAAGCAACTTTTGTTAAAGTTAAACTCATCATTCTATCAATGTGCAGAAGCCTGTACTGTTCCACTACTTGTTTTGACTATCTCTGCTGGCACTGTGGCAGCTGCTGATTGGAGGTCTCCATGCCTCCGCTCTGTATAATACACTTGCATTCTGTTGTATCTGTGTTGCTGTGCTTTGTTCGTGCCGTCTCTACCATCGACAATAAAACATGTCTTCTGTCTGAATTAAAGACGCGATCCCAGACATGTCATCTTCTTCACTTACATTAGCTCAGTAGGTTCACTTCTTTGCTTTGGAGTCACTGGCGTGCTTCTATGTATGTGTGACTTTCTCTAAATATATGAATATGTGATTACTATGTGTGTTTTAACTCTGATCTTTTTAAAACTTTTCTTTCATTATTCTTAGCTATGGATCCTGTGCTTGCATGTGAGTCCTTAATAAAGTCTAAATAAAAATAAAATAAATAAATAAATAAAAAATATCGTTCTAAAACCATATCCCCTTCTTCTATAACTCCACTTACACAGTCGTTCTGGTGGAAACATCCCTTCGCCTTGAAGTGAGAGAGAGAGAGAGTGAGGCGAGGAGGAGAACGTAGGAGAACGTAACAGCGCGCGCTCGAAGCTGTTTTATTTGTGGAGCGCGCATCCACTCACAGACAGCAGCAGAAAGAGGAGAGAGTGCCTGGCGCGCAGAAGTTCACATGCGTCAACTATAGACACATGTTTCCCATCCACAGCTCATGATAGGACCCGACCTGAGATGTAAAGTGGATGCAGATATCAAACTAACTATGGATTTCTATTTGGCACGCGCGCTCTAGGCTGGGTCAAGCATCATGATTTGGATTGTGTTTCTGCCAGCGCTGGTGTCCGAGGCTTGGGGGAACAGGACCGACTTGCCGTTCTTTCACGGGCATGTGTTTGAAAACTCATCTCCGAGCTCCCGAGTGAACGGTCTGTGCGTCCCGGTCAAGCGCCTCAACTCGCGGCTTTGCGGAGCTGAGGAGCCTGGCGCGGCTGCAGCGGCGCACTTCAAACTCCTAGGAGAAGGGAGCGACAAATTCCATGTGTTTGCCCACCACAAACGAGGACATATCCTGCTGAAAACGTCCCAAGTTTTGGACAGAGAGGAGCAGGCGGAGTATGCTTTGGATGTGGGGTTGTGTTGTGGTGGCCAGTGCGGGGAAGAGGATGCCCAGTTCCCCGCCGTGGCATCCATCAAAGTGGACGTCTTGGACACGAACGACCACCAGCCTGCCTTCTCCGCGGCTGACGTGAAATTGAGTTTGGACGACGCCACTGCGCTCCGTACTGCTGTGTACACTCTGACCGCGTTGGATGGTGACAGTGGAAAGAACGGAGAGATGATTTACTTTGTTTTGCCCAAGAATGGGAGTTTTTACGCAGTGCCCAAAACTGGGGACATCTTTTTGGTTGACTCTATTCTGGGTCTGGGCGAGCCTATTAAGTTTAAAGTGTTTGCCAGGGACAGAGGTTGGCCCCCGCGCACCAGCCGAAGCGTGGCGGTGGAGGTCAGTCCCAGGCAACGGCCCCTGAAACCCGGGGAAAAGCGCGAAGTCAAAGCGGGTACCAGAAAGTCGCGCTCTCTGCTGGAAACGGACGAGCCGTTGCTTATAAACGTGTCTGAAGACGCAGGGATCGGCTCCGTGGTGATGAATCTGAACCCGGTCAGGTTCCAGACAGCGGCGTTTGAGCTGGTGGAGCCGGACATGGAGACCAGCCCGGTGAGCGTGAGTCGAGACACTGGGGATATAATCATCTCGCGCAAACTGGACCGAGAGACCGAGCCGCTGGTGGAGATAAGCGTGAGAGTTCAGGATAAAAGAGGTAAGAGCCGACCCCCCACACCCCCAACCACCACCACCCCCTCCCTGAGTGCAGGCGCGCGTCTATGGGGAAAGAGAGCGCGCTGTCTGCTTTCACAAGTGCAATAGAAACATCCCTATTCATGTATACCGGCGTGATAAGTGGAATAAGACATGATAAAGTAGGGGTACCTAACTTTCAGCTTCTTGAATAATCCATGGTTGTCCCAAAACTAGCTGTCTTAATCTTATTATAAAACATATTTCATACTTGTAAGAAAGAACCCTAACTGTTTTGAGCTGATTGATGGTGGTCCTTTCTCTCTTTCTCGTTTCTCTCTGAAAAAGTTGATCTAAAAATTTGACAGAGGCCACTGCATGTGTGTGACAGAACCAAACCGAGGCAGAACAACTAGTTAGATTTGATTTCATGTTTGAATTGTCATGTGCTTTGAAAGTTAGGTACCCCAGCTTTAGCATGATACTCAAATAATGCATAGGCATATAGAGCTTATTTTTGAACACTTTTGGAAACTATGTGTAAGAAGTTTTTGTGGACTTCCCCATCCATGTGGCTCACCTCAAAGGGTTTACAAATTGGAAATGTATTGTCTGTTGAAAATGACACACTGCTCAATTTAAAATGTCGACATACTACTTTTGTAAATGCATTGGCCATACTGAAACTGAAACTTTCTGTAGTGACATATAGAGAAAAGATTAGTAATCCAACAAGCTAACTGAACCAATAGTCACTAAATCACAATTTTTCTGCTGGCTGCAAAATAAAGCATTAGATCGTTGCTATTTGTGTCCTATGGGGGGAAAAAAGGTTTGTAACTCCTGCTTTAGAGGCCAGGTTTGTGACATCCAAAATCAGACTATTCAGCAGGCTTACAGTAATTGAATCAATGGAGACTTAAGTGGCTAAATGCTAAACTTAATGTTCCCTGAATCTGCTTTCTGCAAGTGTCACATCAGTTTTTCAGCTTTGTAAATGGCTCTTTCTACAGTCAACGCATCCGACTGCACCTTTTGAACACATATTTGACAGATATGACTATTGAAATTTCTAAAAATCCACATTATTTCACTTGATTACACAGATCATGAGGTAAACTTCACCGGGTCAATGTGGTGGAATTCATATAGAAAGTTATGATTTATATGGACCATGTGGAGTTACATCTTTTTTGACGGCGAGTTTGAAGCTGGTGTTGAGCTTGTTAGTGCTGGTCTGCAGGGATTAGACACTGCTACCCAAGGGGAGACGTAAAAAATGTAGTGATCCAATGTTTGAGCTGTCTACGAAGCTGCGATGATGGTTTGGACTGGATGGTGCAAGAGGCCAATGAACGAGAGCCCATATTACTGATTGCATTGATTCAGCTGTTTTCATATATTCATAAGTACCTTTTCTAATGAAAGATACTCATTTTCTAGTCTGGTCTTAGCCACCCATAAACTCTAATATAATTTCCCTACGTGTACGTCTGGGTCTGATCCTAGTGGCTGCGATTACCTCCGTTGTATCCCCGCCGACCAATCAGGGAGCGGGGGAGAAGGTCGGTGTCGCTGACGTCAAGAGTTTGCACCAAATTGGCTGGTTGTAGTTTGCCGATGGCGGCGATTGCGATAGTAAAGTAACCCGTTCTGGTTCGGCTCCAAATATCAAGAAATTTAAGCTGGAGCAAGAGGAATTTTTAGAAAGTTTCATTGCTGGTAAAGATGTTGTGGCTCTACTTCCCACGGGCTCCGTTAGTGGCAAAGGAGATGGCTAAAGCTAGGCTAAATGCTAAACGCCTCACTCACTCGGGCGCATTACATACGTCACGGTAAACTTAGATCCAATCGTTTCAATCTGCAAAAGGAGTTAAACCCTCCCACCTGTTAACAGAGATCAATGAAGCAAATCAGTACGAAATGAAATGAGTACGATTGGTTGGTAAGACCTGGCTTCTCAAATTTATACCTTAGAAGAAAGTACCTTATTCTGAATATTGAAAGCTTAGTTTGCTGATTTTTATTTTTTATTATTTCATGTTTAACAAGGAAAGTCCTAGTGAGATTAAGAACCTCCTTTTCAAGGGAGTCCCGGACAAGAGGCAGCAATAGTTACACACAATTACATAAAAAACACACAATTACATAAAAATATCTTCACAATTACCTGAAGCATGGTGCCTTGTCAAAATATCCTTGCACTTGGATGGATGAATGATGGTCTATCGTGAACATAAACGCTGAGGTTATGTAAACATTTATATCTTGTCAAAAGCTCCTACGTCCTGAGCGGTTTACACAATATTAACCCCATAAAACATGGCTGGGAGAAGGGAATCGAACGGCGTGTCTTGGTCTCCTTTCTCTCTGTGGATTGCAGTCGAGTTCATTGTGTTCTTGCAGCGTTTAAGCAGCTTCTTTGGACAATAGGAATGATTAAAAGATGTCTGAAATGAAATGAACCACTGAAGCACTGAAATGAATACCTGCTATAATTCCAGTTTAGACGTCATTAGAACTTACCCAACCGTGAGCAAAAGACACGCACACATTCTTCTTTCCAGTATGGGCCAACCATTTGCATTGCTTTCTTGAAGAGAATTCATTTGGAAAAGTTTTGCCTATTTCTTACCATGAGACACTATTGTATACTATTGAGTACATTATTACTACACATTATTATACAGTATTTTTCAACAATACTATAATGAAACCTCCCCTGATTTCCTCCCTTTGGCATAACTAAGATTTGCTGGAGGAGAATATAGTTAATGACGACTTGCCTCAAGAATTTTAATGAATGTTTGACAATCTGGAGGCTCCGGGGGTGAGCATTGGTGGGTTTAGCTATAGCCAGTTTCTCTCTTCCTTCATAATTTGAAAAGTGATTGACATTCACTTTAAAGTTCCGATTTAATGATATTTTTTACCTTTTAAACCTGCAAAAACTATAGACCCAGATTTGTCTAATTCCAATGAGGCAGACCCTTATTTAATTCCATGCCCTTATCTCTGCCATTCAACGAACATTACTACAAACCATACAGTATGAATAGATAGAGAGAAGGCCTTATGATACAATACAGTGCATACAGGTATATACCCTAATACTGTATAAATAAGTTTAAACACCCTTATTTGCTTATTCCACTTCACCCACGCATTCTGAAGACGGTACAAGCAGATTTGCCATTGGTGCTTACCCTTTTGTGCTTTATGTCCTCTGTTCAAAGGAAAATTTCCACTCTAACGCCAAATAATTCAGCCTGTGAACCAAAATCAATATGGCACCTACAGCAACTTCCGGAGTAAGGTGGAATTATTGTAGCTATGGTTAATTTAAAGTGTCTCACAGATCTGTCTTGGTGGAGGGCAGAGCTGCACAATTTCAATCACAAATACAATTGTGATTTTTCAGTCAACCGTTGTGTTTAGGATTCGGTTTGTGATTGCTGTTCTGAGGCTAGGATCATATGGACGTGGACTTTTGTTTTGCTTTTGAAATTAAATTAATAGAAAATGTTCAGTTTAAATCCCACTGTGTTTAAAACTAAGCTGGATAAAACTAAACCTGTTCCATTTTCAGATAAAACAGTCAAAATGCACTAAAATGAAGAAAAATACTACACTATGTTTATGGTTATAAAAAAGAAAAATACTACCACTATTTGTCTGTTTTAGACATTTACATTTGTCCTTGTATTTCTCAGTCTGTTGGCATCGCGGTGCAGTGGTTAGCGCTTGTGCTTTACGGAAAGAAAGGCCAGGTTTTGATTCTACTTCCAGACAGGGGAAGTTTGCATGTTCTTCCCGCCGTGTGCTCCAGTCTCCCCACCTCTAAAAACATGTACAATAGGTCTGAATGTAAAGGAGTGAGTGAGGGGAAGAATATCGGTACTCCGAAAACATTGTACAGCGCTTTGTGTGACCACGGCCTGTGAAATGAGCTGTATCAAAACAGATTATTTACTTATAGTTGTGATTTTAATACAAAAGATCATTTCCCTTTTGCGATAGAACTGATGTCATCTGAATAATTGCAGTCTTTGCGATTGCGGCCACTGAAATTGCCGTTATGATTAGATTGCGATGAATCATGCAACCATAGTGGACGGTCATATTAAAACGTCTATTTATTTACATGTTTGTTTATTTATCACCAGATGAGAAGTACTACTAAAGAAATAAAATAAAACAAATAAAAATAAAAAACAAGTCAAATGTGCATGGGAGTTCCAGAAGGAATGGTACACTAAATGCACTGCAAGACATAAAAAAAATGAGGTAATAATCGCGTAAAATTTGTGCTTTTTTTTTCATTTGAGATCATTTTGATTCTCTAAAAACCAGATTTGCCAATGGGACAAAGCCATTTAACCTCATTTCACTGGCTTCATTTTCTCATTCCAAGGAAGAATTTTCTTGTATCTTTTTGAAACAAGATCATTTTGTTTCTCCCATTGCCAACTCTTGTTTTAAAGCAGTCACAGTTTGCTCACATTAAGAAATATTTTGCCAAATTTGAGCAACTTTTGATTCATTTTTCGTCACTTTTTGCAGCGTGTACACAGTATTTTATGTGCAATTAATTTGAAACCATACCTGCATTTTTCCTCATTAAAGGGATCATGAAAGTATCTATCTATCTATCTATATCTACATAGGAAACAGGCCATTTATAGTCACTGATGATTCCCTTCAGACCGTTTAATGTGTTAAGGTATATTTTAATGTGCCTGGGTGTATGAGTAACATGTTGCGACCCAGCCTTTGCCAGCGTGTGTGCATCTTTGTCACTTCCCTTTATACTTCTACCCACCTAATTCCCCCTCATAAATCCAGCGTTCCTAGTTAGCTCCTGCTCCACGTGTCTAACGGGGGGACGTCCCAGCGGTCTCTCCTCCGCAGCTGTGTCAAAGTGCCCTGCTGTTTACAATGCGGGTCAAATCTGCTGACATTTATCAGTGTTGATGATGATTCATGTGCGTGAGGGATAAATTAGAACAGCTTCGATGTGTCCGCTGCATGGGTTGGCTGCTCCTGCTGCTGCTGCTGCTGCTGCTGCTGCTGCCAGGAGCACAGATGCCGGGGTGTCGAGGGAGAAGTCGGCCTCGGAGCAGCCGTGAGAGCTACAGGTTAATTATCACCTGCAAGGAAAAAAATGAAAAAAAAAATCACGTGGAGGAAAGCTTGCGTTAATAAATGCATATGCACGACAATGGGATAAGTGACTGCATTGGGAGGTACGAGAGGCTCAAAGGATTGTCTGTTGGTCGGAACAGGGGAATAAGAGTAATTTGATCGACTAGTTTTTAACCGTGGATATGTAGAGCTTTGACAAATATCTAAATAATTCAAGTTTGGTTGATTGAGATTATGGACAAATGCCTTTCAATCAAAAGACACCAATGAGATTTTATTAATTCTTTCCTTATTATGCTAAAGATGGATATTTTACGCTGCTTCTTTTTTTGATTTTATTTGACTTGAGTATAGAGGTATTGTTCACTTATCTTGTGCTGTGTGCTCCTCCTTCATTTTGATCTGCAACTTGTGATACAACACTGAAATTTCCCCACTGTGGGACGTATAAAGGTTCTGTTAATCTTGATTGGTGGTTGTGACCGTGCAAGAAAAGGAGGGGTTTAAAGCTGAGGAAGCTACATTTCAAACGGTTATGTGAGAAAGTATGTATTCCTGTTTAACTGTATTATACATTCTAGACTTTAAAGTAGGAACTGTAATGGGATACAGTTACTCAGAAAGAGTATTCTGAAGGGCTGCAGCTCTCAATGCACCACACGTTGTAAAAACAATAAAGATTACATTTATTATTGCGATGAAGTATGGAACGAATGGATCAGTATTGCTGTTTTTTTGTTTTTATTTGCATTAACAAGATAAAAAGGATTATGATAAAAATCAGGAATATCATGTGAAAATTAACATTTTTATATTTTTGCAGCCGCTTAAATTAATTATCGATAAAGCACTTCTTACGTTATTTGCTTCTGCCTTCTCCTTTTGAGTTTTTTTTTCTTTCTTGAATTATATGTGCATGTAAAAAAAAACAAAAAAAAACATCAAATACATTGTAAAACTACTCAAATAAAAATACTACTACTAGTACTACTACTACTACTACTTAGCCAAAGTTCCACAGCTTGTTCCATTAAGACCAGTTAACAGCTTTGGACTGAGGCACTGACCTGATCAATGCGACCTATTGGTTTGGATAATGTAAACTATCCTGATGCAGAGAAGGAGCTGAGTGGACTGTTGGCACCAGCTACTGTTTTACAAAGCCAGTCTAATGCAGAGCTGGTCGTTTGTCACAATTATCACTCAATTGAAAGCTTAACAGAATCATAGTTGTTTTGGGATAGCTCTATTATTTTCTACTTTTCAGTTTCTGTTGTTTGGGAGCTCTATGTCTCAATGCTGCAGGAGGAGAGTAACAGTCAAAATGACAGAATGCTGAGATTGAGCAAAACATTTTGAATGGTTTGGACTTTTTTTTCTCTTTTTGTTAAGACTAGCTGCAGACGCCTGTCAAAGCATTTTTTAGCATCGTGGGCCCGCTACGGTTTATGAATGTGTTAACGTGTGAGTAATATAACTAATTGAACCATCTGACATACACTCAAATGGATTGGTAAATATTAAGATTAAGATTAAGAGATCCTTTATTCGTCCCACAGTCTGTACATTTCAGATATGTCAAATATGGATGCAAATATACCAAAAACAATAAGTTGACAGCTCTGTGGGGAGAATAACGTGTTTCTTTGAGGAGAGTAGATGTCAATCAATGTGAGAGTGAAGGCTGTCTGTGTCTGTCAGCGCGGCAAGACAAAAATAGTCACACTAAATTCAACTTCATACATGATTATTGATTGACTGCAGTCTTATAATGTAAAGTATAAGGCTAAAATCTTACCGTAATGAAGAAAAGGCACTCTCTGTTTTATTTAATTCAGTCACTTATTGGTCCAGCTCTGCTTTTGCTCCCAATATGAATGAGTAGAAAAAAACACTGATTTTTACCGCTGGTTCTTAGAAATGCAATAAATTTTAGTCATAAGTTAAACATTTTGGGACCCTAATAAATCAGGTTATTTAAAGCTGGAGTGGCTGACCTTCATTTAGTTTGTCACAACGGAGTCATAAAAGTGAAAGGCTGTGAACAAATAAGACGACAACATGATGCATCTATCTTGGAAAACATTTGATATTTTACATACTGAGAGCTGGTAGTCTCGTTTTTTTTCTGAAAAAGCTGATTTAAAGATGTGACCAGAGATACATGCATGTGAAAACTGGTGACAGAAGTAACTAATGTTTAGTTATATAGTGCATTTTACAGACCAAGGTCACCCAAAGCGCTTTACAATGTTCAAAGTCAGATATTGTTCCAGTCACTCCACACACGGAGATGACAGAAGCGAGTCCAGAACACACCAACACATCCATTCACTCTCTCATTTACATTCATACCTATTGTGCATGATTTTAGTAGTAGAGTTAACCGTAGCACCCGGAGGAAACCTACGCAGATACAGGGGGAACATGCAAACTCCACTCAGAAAGGCCCTGTTTCTGACCGGGATTCGAACCCAGGACCTTCAGAGTGCTAACCCCCTCAGCCATCGCGCCGAATCGTTTTGATTGCAAGAAACAATACTGAATAATACTACATTGTTCACTTTTTGTGGTTTCATAAGAAGGTACCTCAGCCTTACGAGAATTTGGCATTTTGAGTAGATTTACTTGCGCCACGTTCATTTTGATTGGTTGACATACAAGAGCAATAATCTGGCCTGTAAGTAATTTTCCATTGTGGTTGTACGCATCGCTGTAGCCGGTCTTGCCAAGTGCGAAGGGGATTAGTATGTTTGTAGATTAGAGAAACGCTGCATATTGTCAGGATCAAACATCACTGGTCCGACCTCTTTTCACTGGTGCCTGCTGTGCTCGCTTGTTGCTGCTGAAGTGGGAAACTCTCACCCCCATAACCTTCGCCTGTTCCCTCGCAAAAGACAGTAGGGCAGCCATTTGACCTAAGCGAACATTTTTCATTTCCTTGCGGCAGCTGTGGCTCTATCTCTGTTACGCGTGGGCAGCTTTCGTTTGGTGGGTCGGCCTTCGCTGGAGTTGGCTAATCCTTCTGGAGAGGAGAGTTGTGGCGGAGTCCTCGACCTCCCTCCATCTGCTGGCATTATCCCCATAATCCCATCTGATTCCTCCCTGTCTGTCCCATTCTCCAGCCGAGACTCTTGCGGCTTTCTTTCAATACGCCGATGCTCCCTCCAGGGATTTGGTGTAAGGGGGAACAGTTTAACAGTGAGTGGCGAGTCAATCGGTCAACCATTTGTGGCAAGTGAAGGATGGCTTAATGCAGTGACGTTATTCAACAAGTATTTCAGAGCAGAGTGGTCTGAACTCAGGATGCACAATTTGTATTTAGAAACATTTTGGAATACTAGTACAAATGCAACCAGTGTGTACCAGGGGAAAAACACCCTTGAAATGTAAAAAACAAGTTAAAAAGTACTTATGCAATGAATATCAACTAATAAAGAACTTTTTTTCATCTAATGACGGCTTGTGGAAAGAAGCTGTTGCCCTGGCACAATGTCTTGCATTTCAAAGAACAGAATCTTCTTGCAGAGGGAAGAAGGTGGAACATCAGTGCCATGAGTCACTGATGATTCAAAAGCTCAAAGTGGGGATTCATAAAGAGCCTCCAGAACAGGCTGCGCAATATGGCAAAGAAGGTGGATGTTTGTTTATATTTAACTTGTTACGTAGATTTAATTCCAAGTCACTGATTTAATGACAGATGAGAGAAAATAAGTACTCAAGTTTCCAATCCCAAAGTAATTGTATGTGCACTGATATCTCAAATGTATGTATTCTCAGTTGTGCATGTTCTGGAAGCCTCCTGTTCCCTGTGCCCTGTTGCTTAAACCAGAATTTCACGACTGCACAATGACAGAATCCCCAAACACAAGAAACACATTGGCACATGATCTGGAATAATGCGCTTTAGGATTGATCACACCAAAGAAGTGACGAGTGGACACAGGTTAAATGAAGTCAGTGATTCTTGCCTAAGTCATTTATGTGTCATTGCTTGCACCACTCCCATCTCCACAGCCACTTATTTCTAGATGTTTTGTCCCTGCACTTGAATGATTGGGCAGCTTCATGCAGGATTTTTGGCCGCACACAATCACTGAACTGTTTTGAACCATCGCTTTTTGGATAGTAAAAAAGTAGTAGAGAAAAGTAGAGAAATGTACATGTCACATTGGCAAGGATAGGAACACTCAAGAATTGTAGAATATGCATATGTATACTGTATATACACTCACCTTTGGCCCTCCACGGGCGGTTATCCCTCTCTAAGCCTGGGTCCTCTACCAGAGGCCTGGGAGCTTGAGGGTTCTGTGCAGTATCTTTGCTGTTCCTAGCACTGCACATTTCTGGACCGAGATGTCCGAGGTTGTTCCAGGGATCTGCCCCGAGTGCACCGATCACCACGGGCACTGCTGTCACCTTTACCCTCCAGGCCCTTTCTCTGAGCCCTTGGTATTTCTCAAGCTTACAAATATATATTTTTGTAATAACTATCAATCTTGAAGAGATTCCCCACCCTAATCATGCAGCTCTACCGCCTACACACTCTGCAATTTTAGGCTGTCACATTAGTACACGGTGTCAAAGTCAAGGCCCGGGGGTCTGGTCCGGCCCACAAATGAATTATCTTGGCCCCCCTGGATGATATTTGATTAGTTGTCATTTAATGTTCCGGACATGTGTTTTCTTTTAAGTTTGTTTTTGTCTGTGAGCCTGACAAAAGTGAGTCTTTTTACACTTGAAATGACTGACAGAGCCATAGAAAAATGCTTTAGAATATAGTCAATAAAGGCACTAGAATAAATGCGCTATAAAATAAGGATAACTTACTTACCATCGTGCTACAGCTGTATCAATACCGAGTGAATATATTAACAGTGTAAACCAAAGTGAGCGCTCGCAGGGTAAGATATTTTCTGGCTGGGCTCAGTGTGACTCAGAGCTGAAACTTCCTCTGCGTTGGAGTCGGAGTCTGCGTCTATTGTCTCCTACTGAAGGTGTAGTGTTGTTTATTCACTGCTGGTGCATTTGAAGCGGCCGAGGCACCCAAGCAGAGCTGTTCCCCAAACGGAACATTGATTACGCTGTTGTAGCTGCACACATTTCTCTCTGCTGGAGTGGAGATGAAAGAGCGGGGTTTGGAAAATAGGTGCATTTTCCCATGGAGTTGAACAATCACTCCAAATTGACATTCTTGTAAATTGCTAATATTTTTTTGGTTGAGAAATACAGACAACATTTTTGTTCATTTGGATTGTCAATCATATTTCTACAATTAATTAGCAGGGAATGGCACACAGGAAAAAACAAATGTTACTTTCAACAAAAACATCCTTGACTTTTTTCAACTTTTAAACATTTCTTGCTTGAATTAAGGGGAAGATTTGACTGTCCTTGAAATTACAATAAAACCACTTTATTAATGATTTTGTTTTAGTCAAATTAAAATATATTGTTGGGAATTTTGTGTGTTGGTTATATTTGGCATAATTGTAAAACTGAACTCTAACTAAGCAAAAAACACAAAAAATAAGGAATAATCTTACCTCATTTAAGCATTGATTTGCACTTTACGGTTGTGCAAATGGTTTTGAACTCCTTCATCTTTTGGTTCAGAAAGCATTTGGAGTTGAAGTATCTCGGGGTCTTGTTCACGATGAGGGAAAGAAGGAGCGTTTGCGTCTGCATTCAAGGCTGTATCGGACTGTGGTGAGCCGAGTTGCAGTGTTGTGCCAGATCATAACTTTTCACAACTAGTTCAACTTCAGTTCATACATTCTCAAAGTGAACAGTTCACGTTCAAAGTTCACAATTTTAATTCTGAACTAGTTCAAAGTTCAGTTCATTTTACTTTTTTCATGAGATATTCAAATAAATACTTTGTTTCACTCGGTACATCCCTACCAACAACCCCTGAAAAGCACTAGCATACAGTGCCGCACCTCAAAACGGAATCGGGGTGCGTTCACAGACTGTGGAAACCGTGGAAAATTTGAGGTTTTCGGCGGAAAAAGTGCAGAAAATACACTTGTTCACGCACAACACTGCTGAGTTGAAAGGCTGAGCTCTTATTTTACCAGTCAATCTACATTCCCACCCTCCCCTATGGTCATAAAGAGTGGCTGGGTGTCCCATTGAAGATTGGAGCTCAGTCGCCCAGTAGGAGCTCGGAGTAGAGCTGCTTCCTCTTCACATCTAGAGCCAGTTGAGGTGCCTCAGGGCATCTGTTTTGGATGCCACCTGGGCGCCTCTCTGGGGAGCGGCTTTGGGCATGTCTCACTGGGAGCAGAACCCGGAGGTAAGGGAAGCTATAATCTGGAACAGTCTTCCTGAAAATGTGAGGCAGGCTTCTTCTCTGACAGTGTTCAAATCCAAGTTTAAAAACAGTTCTTTTTGAGCAATTTTTATCTTCACTCTTTTTGACGTACTGTGATTATTTATGATTCTAATGCCTTGTGTGACTGTCTCTATCTTGTTTGGTTCAGAACTTTGAATTGCCTCGTGTACGTGATTTGTGCTGTACATATAAACTTGCCCTTGCCCTGGAGGGACTGTCTGGCAGCTGCCTGGGAACACAAAATTCCGTCGTATGAGCTGGAGGTGGTGTGTGTGGATATCTGGGCATCTTTGCGTAAACGGCTGTCTTGCATTTGCTTATGTACTGTATGTATGCACGTATCACATTTCAGTATCAATGTGAGACTTGTGTAATTTCTACATAATCAGTCAATTGCTTCACTACAGAGAATATCTGTACTTTTTAACGATTAACGAGAATAACAATAACAACAATGCATTATCAATTATGCAATTTTTAAAGCCCATTTTCCATCTAAACTCTTACTGAATTCCATACTTTTACTGTGCACTTTTTTACCAAACCCCAGGATAGAAGATAGATAGATAGATATTTTATTGATCGCAAAGGAAACTGTGCAATGGTTCCTTGCTCGCAATGATAACATAGGATAGAACTAAAATCTACAAAACAGTTAAAAAAGACAAAAAAATACATTAAAAAGAAGTTAAGGCACTGCAAGACAATTCTCAAGACCCCTCCCTCCCTCAACCCCCCCCCCCCCCCCCCCCCCCGCTCCTCCCTGAAGTGGCTTTGTTATAGAGCCTGTCCTTGGAGCACCTCAGAGAGAGGAGTCTGGAGCTCATGGTGCTTCTCTGGCGGGAAAAAAAATAATTTAGAGGGTGACTCTGGTCAGCCTCTCAGTGTCCCTCTTTCTTGCATAAAAAGGACACTAGACACAACAGACTGATAAAACACGTAGAGTAGCTTATCACAGACCCTGAAAGATGCCAATTGCCTCAAAAAGTACAAGGATAATTATAATATGTTACAGAGTTTGTCCAATACATCATTTTGTGTGTTGACAAAACGAGTTGAACAGACTCATCAGAATATAAAAGTACTTTCTCCTCTCAGTACAACTCAGAGTTCTTTGTCATCACTTTGCTAAAACACGGCTCCTTTCCTGTCCCACATCAGTCATTCTGGCTTCTTCCTGATGAATTATTCCACCTGCTTTTTCCGGGCCTCCTATTATTTCCTGTCTTTTAAGAAGTCCTGTACGGATCAAAGAGAATCCATCGGGGCTGTGTCTGGTCTGGGTGATTAAGCACAAGTTTCGCCGTGTTAGGGGTGGAAAAGCTTTGACCTTAGAAGTTGATTGAAAAAGTGCTGTTTCCGGACAAAAGAACGTGTCTTGATGGAGGTGCAAAACAAGTTGTTGAGAAGCCTTGGATAGAAATCTGAAGTGTCTGTTTGTCAATAGCGTTGCTTTTCTTTGACTTAGTTTTGGAACGTCTTTGAGTGAGAAACGCAGGCACTGATAAAGGCAAAGAGAAGAAAAAAAACATGTTTAAACCACTTTTAAACCATCAATCGTTTGCATAAAGAGGATATGACTGGACTCTAAGTTGAGAGGTTTGATTTTGATGTGTTTTTTGCGTATTTTTTTAAAGTCAAATCTTATTGATGGAAAAGAAGTCTTAACTTGATTTGTTTAATTCTATTTATTATTATTTTTTAAAGGGAGGAAAGATACACATTTTAATAGACATTTTGTTATAGAAATATGCCAGGCTATCGCTAATTTTTATCTGCAGACTAAAAACAACATAAGGATACATAATTTACCCAAAAATTAGATGGACAAGGAGGAGAACAGTGGC